ATTAATTAATGTTGATATATTAGTTTAATTAGTTTTAATTAGTATATATTAGAAAGTTAAAATCTAGACTCCAATCAAATCGTAGCGAAGAATCGAATAGCTAAATAGATATCTCATAGGGCCACAAAAGTCTGTTTATTATTTGGATAAATTAGAATTCTTTTAAAAATAAAATAACAAATATAATTAAATAAATTTCTTCACAAATTAACTTTTGTATAATCTAATTTCAATATTTTTCTTTTCCTATTTTCTTCTTGTTTCATTAGTTAGTTACTACTACTTGATTTTAGGATTTATGCATTAATGAGAAGATACGTTAATGGTCTTGTTTGTATCTAACGTGTTTCAATAACAACGAATCATATATATTCTTAGGTTAAATAATATATTATTAATAAATAATAAATAAATAAATATAAAAAAATAAAAATATAAGAAACAAAAATTATAAATATAAAAAATAATATTTCATAATTATAAAAGAGATCTTACTTTTTATTGTTTCAATAAGACTCCTGTCACTTCAAAAAAAAGTGAAGAATGAGATTTAAATAATTATTTAAAAAAATTCATTTTAATGTTTCTTTTGAAATTATTAAAATAGGTTAGGATAACTAATTTTTCTTTAATATTTGTACTGTTTATTATAAAGTTTACATAGTGGATTTAGGTCAATGAACGAAATTTGTAACGGATTCCTGAAAACAAAAGTATAACTGGAGAATAGATTTCTACTTTGAAGCAGGTGGTAAATTACTATCATATACCGAGGTAAGCCTGTGGTTGCATCACTGCAATTTAAAATAGCCAGCTTTGAAAACAAATTTATATCAATTTCAAATACAACCACATCAAACGTGTTTGCACTGGATGTGTTTCTCCAACATAATTGATGTATCAAACGAGGGTACGGTTTAAAAATAATTTTGGCAACATCTAAAAATAAACAGAATAAATTGAGCTTTCATAACTTTTGACAACATCAATTACAAATATAACTTGGCATATCATCCACGACTACACAAGTTACAACTGCTATAAACAAAATTGAACGACCACTTATCAAATCTAACATATTTACAAATCCCCTGAAACCAAAATTTGTCCTTCTAACAGACTAGAGATGTAAGACATCGTCGCTGCCACCTTTGGAGTCAACTTCCAAGGAAATTTGGCATGATGGCATATTCCAGCTTTGGAATAATTTGAATTATTGATTGCAGGGTAAATGACCAACCTTCATGACCTCTCCAAATGGAATTGGAAGATGTATTATGATAAATCTGCAAAGAACAAATATCACGTTTCTATGGCTCCATGTTTTTTCTATTAAAAATGTTATAAACTAAAGACAAACCCATATTCAAAAATGCCCACAGGCGGTACTAATAAGATAAAGTACCAGAAAAAATAATCATTTTTGGTCCAAATGGAGAAAGGCACTCATTGATCGCTGCCAATGTTCCTTATCTCGACAGTTGGGAATAAGTATACAATTGAACCTCCTAGGTCCATACACCAGATCTTTTTCAAAAGAACACCGATCTCTTGTCGACACACGGGAGAGAACCAAGTTTCTAGTTACAAATAAACAGACTTGACATCATTAGCCCCAAAGCTTGTAGCACACTGTGGACACTTGCGATGCCGACTCCCAGCAACTTTCTGGATACACGAGTAGCAGAACAAGTGGTAGCATTTTGTAATTACCACCTGGCAAAAAACAAAGATACATACATAAGCTTCTCACCCAAAGAATCATGTTTGGTTTACTATAAATCTTAATTTGTAAACAGACAAGCAAGTCACAAACATCTGCACGCCCCAAAGAGCACATATCACGATGTGGCCCAGTTCGGATACTTGTACAAAATCACTAGAAGAGGAAAATGAAAAATAATTTTGCAATACGATTCTCTAATTAGCTAAATTTTTTTAACTTATACATAACCTAAATCTAGCTTATGGGAGAAACTTATTTCATTTAATTTCTCCAGAAACTGAGTTTAGCTTATGGAGAAACTAATTTTATTTTACCTACTTATTTTCTTTTCCTGTAAGTGTTTTTAGAGAAATTAACCCAAATAGCGCCTATATGCAACAGCAATCAATGCAGCAAGATATCATCATATCAAGATATTAGTTTATGCCCTAGGGTGTCAAACAGATACATGAACAATTAGAATTTAATTACAGTGAATGGGTCAAAATTAATCCAATAAACCATTTAGAATTCATCAAGAAAGTATTTGTTTGTAATTGTTTTTAATTGAGCTTATAAATCACTTTAATTAGGTCCCTTCGTTTTGTACAAATCATAGAGTTATCCGATGGAGATGGGCATATCCAGTACAATCAAAGTGCAGATTCCAACCTGTGATATTGGTGAAAAAGAACAACTAATCGAGAATGCGTGTAGATTATAGAACCTTAAATAAAGTCAAGGCCCCTAACAAATTTCCCATACCAATCATTGAAGAACTGTTACATGAATTGCATGGAGCAAAGTATTTTTCTAAAGCTGGATTTGAAGATATTCCTACAGCTGCATTTAGAACCCATGAAGGTCATTACAAATACCTTGTAATGCCTTTTGGGCTCACGAATGTCCCTTCTACATTTCTATCACTAGTGAATGAAATATTTAGGAATTTTTTGAGAAAAGGAGTATTGGTGTTTTTTGACAATATACTCGTGTATAGCAAGAGATGGAAGGAACATTTGAAACATTTGTTGTTCAGGAGATCCTGATGTTGCATCAGTTATATGCAAACAAGAAGAAATGCATTTTTTGTTAGGAAAGTGTTGAATATCTCAAGTCAAGGCATATTAGTGGATTCTGCAAAGTGAGAAGTGTGCTTAGTTGGCCTATACCAAAAACTATGAAAGGGGTGTGAGGAATTTTAGGTCTCACCAGTTACTATCGAAAATTTATTAAGCATTATTTAATTGAGCCTTAAGCAACTATTACAATGAGTAACCACGGGAAGTTCACAAAATTGGGTGGCTAAATTATTGGGGTTCAATTGCGAGATTGTTTATAATCCAGGACTAGAAAACAAAGGTGCAGATGCTCTTTCAAGGAGTAAAGAGGGGTTGGAACTTACAAGTATGATATATATTCCAATTTGGTTGGACTGTCAAGCATTAATTGTTGAGGTGCATGAAGACATTAAATGGACGAAAGTTATTGAGTTACAAAATGGATCAAAAGTGCATCCGGGTTTATGTACAAGCTAGAAGTGTTGTTGTTTAAAGGCAAATTAGTTAATTCAGAAAAATCCTTATGGATCCCTAAGTTGTTAGAAGATTTTCATGCAACACCACATGCAAGACATTCAGGCTTTTATAGAACCTATAGATGTGTAGCAGCCAACTTGTATTGGAGGGGAATGAAAAATGATATAAAGAAATTTGTTCAATTCTGTGACTCGTGCCAGCGTCAGAAGTATAGTACATCTTCTCCGGGCTGTTGCAGCCACTTCCCATTCCGAAAAGAATTTGGGAAGATACAAGTCTGGATTTTATCACAGGGTTGCCAAGATCAAGGGGGTTCAAAGCCATATTAGTAATTGTGGATAGACTATCAAAGTACAATTACTTTGTTCCTTTAAAACATCCTTATACAGCCAGAGTGATTACTGAAGTTTTGTAAGAGAAGTGGCGAGACTCCAAGGTATTCCACTTGTTGTGGTGAGTGATAGGGATCCCATATTCATGAGTTGTTGTCGGAAGGAGTATTTTAGGATGCAAGGGGCAATGTTGAAGATGAGTACCACATACCATCCTTAAACAGACAGACAAACCGAGGTCATCAATAGATATCTTGAAACTTACTTACGTTGCTTCGTAGCTGATCAACCAAAAGGGTGGGCTTGGTGGCTGCTTTGGCAAAATATTGATTCAATACTATCTATCATGAGTCTACAGGCACTACACCATTTGAAGTTGTCTACGGACACAAACCTCCACAGATTGTGCGAAGTGTAATAGGGGAAGTGAGATTTTGGATCGCCATGAGGCTTTAAGGCAATTAAAGAACTATTTGCTAAGAGATCAAGAAATTATGAAGGTACAAGCAAATAAACATTGAATAGACAAAAATTTTGAAGTGTGGGATATGGTATTTCTGAAACTCAAGCAACATAGACAACACTCGATAATGGCAATGATAAATCTTAAGAGTGTCAGGTGCGAAGTTGCCTCTTTCTTCACAATACATCCTGTATTTCACGTGTCCCTTCTCAAAAAAGCACTAGGGAACTACAAGATAGAGGAAGAATTATTTATAGATTTGGAGGATGATGAGGAGGGGGTTGAAATTATTGAACCTATTTCTATTCTAGTCTCCAGCAACGTTGTGAAGAAGGGAGAACAAGTGAATCAATGACTCATTCAGTGGAAGGTAAAGGTAAAAGTGGCAGAAAAAGCTACATGGGTAGACGAAGTTTTAATTAGAAGCCAATTTCCAATATTGAATCTTATGGACAAGACAAATCTTCAATAGGGAGGTATTGATAGGCCCAAAGAGTTAGGTGGGCCTCATGAACCACTAGTCCAAGAAGGGGGCAAGCGGAGATGGGGAAGAGTATATGTGAGAAAGAAGAAACATATGGCTGAGGTGGCATAGTTAGAGGAGAGAAGGGTATTTTCTATTAGGACGTATCAGTTATAAGTCATAAGTCGAAGGAGGGGATGTTAGTGGAGGGGTATTTTTTTTGGAGAGAGATAGAGGAGAACCGGTTGGGTTATCCTAGAGGAGCCTAGCTCTGGGCAGTAGGAGTTGTTATCCTTCTATATTTTCCTTTTATGTTGCAAATAATACAGAATAATAGTGTTTCCTTCTTCTTCTGTATCAGAGATTGCACATTTACGAAGAAGAAATGAGAATATTAACATGGACAATAAGCCATACAACAATACAAGGGATATGAAATGATTGCCTGTATACAAGGAGAAATTTGTTGTACTACCAGTTGAAAAAGGATAAAAGAAAATCAATCAAGGTAGATTTCACATTTGCCAAGAAGAAATGAGAATATATCAACACGCCTCGTAGCCATACAACAACACATGGGATATGAAATGATTGCATGTTTACAAGGACAAACTGTTGTACTACCAATTGAAAAGGATAAAAGAAAATCTATGATTGCACATTTGCGAAGAAAATGCATCTCTACACTTGCATTGTTTTGTGAAACCCACATCTAAAAAGGAGATGTTATACACATACAATTCAAACAATTTATAGAACATATCTTTTTGTGTTTATCTCCCTTCGTTATTATGACATGCAATAAATGCGCAAAGAGACAGACAGAAACAAAAAAAAGTGTACAAATAACAAGTGTTTTAAAAATACCTCTTTTGCCCTGTCATGACAGATACTGCACTTGATAATATCCCTGTACTCTTCAAGTTCTTGTTGAAGCTTTTCAGTTACTGAAGAACCTTCATTATGTTCTTTAAGGCGTGAAAACTGTCTCCTAGCAACCTCCAGATCCTCCTCCAATCTTTTCTTGGTAAACCTTATTAATGAAAAGACACAAGGTTCACAACAGCTGTGTGCCAAAAAACATTTGACAAAAAAAGTGTATGCATTACTGCTAAATACCTTTCTTTCTCAAGTTCTACTTGTAACTCCATTCGTGTCACTCGATTACTACCAATTTTTGATTGCATGTCCATCACTGTATCCCTAATCTGTTGAGTTTGTCTTCCAATATCGGACAGCCTTCTTTGTGTATTTTCCGAAGCAACAGAACTTTGAAGTTTATCCTCTGCAAGTCTTTGAAGCTGATCCGAACAAAACTTCAACTGCATATCAAGTAAGGATAAGTGAAATTTCCAAAGTCATATCTGAAGTGCGATTTAAGATTTAAATCAAGATCCAGCTACCTGGTCTTCAATTCTTGCAGATTTCATATCATATAAATTCAGGGATGTGTTTGTTTGCTGGATCTCTTGTTCAATTACCCGCTTATCCATAAGCAAAGAATCCTGCTTCTGCCTCGCCCTTACGCCCTCCAAAACAAGCTGCACCAATGAGACATATATTTTAAAAAAAAAATCTAAGTGACAAACTTGAGTATATAAACATATAACTCGTCTTCGAGAATAATAATGAATGCCCAATGTATAGTAGAAATTTTGGGGAAAAAAATACCACTTGAATGAAAGGTCTTTGTAATATTTTGACAATATTGTGCTAGGAAATATAGTTTTTATCTGCTGTCAGGAAATGTCACATATAGGGTACAGAAAAGCTTGTGAGTTGGTTGTATTTTCAAAAGACTATCTAGGAGCAGGTTCTCCTAGATTCAACCAGTCCTTTCCTCCTCTTGTACTCCTTTTCATGATATGTGTGCATGTGTGTGAATGTGCATTCTGCTGCTGGGTACAACTAACGCAAGCAAGTTAATCACAGATTCTCACGTTCTGATTCTTTTAACATCCTTGCCAAGGGCATCTAATCCGCACATCACCTTCCTCTCCCTAGTGGCATTACACTGCCTTCAGGAGGCTTGTTGGCTGTCACCAAGTCTGTTTTAAGACTGACCTTGTTATTTTACTACATTTGAGGAGTGGGTCTACATTCATCTTTTTTTTTTTTTGGCTTCTACTTCCCTGGATCATATCAAGTTCTGGTCTGATTTTTCAATTCCCCGGACTCAACTGTAACTTCAGGGAAATATGACAGGGAAAATTATCTATTTTTGACTGCTCCAGTAGAACTATGGCTTATTGGTCAGAAATATCATAATCACTGGGAAATGGATTATAGTAAAGTTTATTCCCAAATTTGTGCAGTGCTATGCTATCAGTGGACATATTAGGGACCTTAAGGAATTTTCAAGACATCAAAGAGCATTTTGGAAAAAGGTCCACAGTATTTTTGCCAACGATTTTTAATGTTTATCGACCCAGAAGATGGCTTAACAAGCTGATTATGATATGATTTCTTTTTGTTGCTGTTAGAGATATTTCTCCTTTATGTTTTCTATTAGTTGTAAGTGTTTAGTTACAACTCACGATTAGTAATTCCCCTGTTTAGTATATATAGGTTTGTAACAGAGAATCCTAATGACCACTGTTTTTACTTTTTCTTTTAGCATCAATGTATCTTTCTTTCAATATGGTATCGAGACATTTATGATCTATCATTTCAGAAAAAATCGCACCACCTGTGCTGACTTAGGCAACATCCTTGAACACCCACATTGCTGCAATTGTGGTTCTTTCATCTTTACTCTAGTACAAACTCTGGTCATATGATGACAATAATTTCTTGCTAAGGCATCAACAAGTCAAACATGTCATCAAAGCACATAGGTTCATGGTAGTTAGCATCGTATAAATCACACGATGTGTATCACGATTCAGTTGAAAATTTTTCTTCCACCGGTAGGTAAGATACATGCTACGCACACATTCTACCAAAATATCTACTCCATATTTCTACCAATCATTCATTCTATTTGTTTCTTTAATGCCCTGACTACACAGCTATATTGACATTATAAAAATTCCAACATCCCAGTTACTAGAGATGGCAAAACGGGTCAGCCCGCCCCGTTTTGGCCCGTCTCGCCTTTAGCCCTCCAAAAGCAGGGCGGGGCGGACTGACCCGTTATAGTCATGACGGGCTGTAGACCTTGGTCTGTCCCGCCAGGGGCAGGTTGGCGGGCTGGCCCACCATAATTTAGAAAAAAATATTTTATTTTTTAAAATAAAAAATTTCAATAAATTTAATAATAAGATTATTATTTGTTTATCAATAATTCAATTTAATAATATAAATCAATACATTGTTTTAAGAAATTATAATTTAGAACAATAATAAAATTTACATAATAATAAATAATAACAAATATATATATATATATAACGTTAAAACTTATAAAATTTATATTTTTTATATTGAAAATTCAAATATCTATATCTTTTTTATTTGATAAAACTTCATATTATTTTTGGTTAAGTAATTCTTACATCTTTAATTCAAGTCATAAGGATAAAAATAATTAGTGCTTAGGATGAACAAGGAGAACAAGAGAGAGAAAGTTGTATTTAAGTAAGGAGAATATTTTTTGTAAGAGTGAAACTTAATTCTCTTTTTAAACTTTTTAACTTTATATATTATCTTTATAATTAACTTTATTATAATAAAAAATTATTTTTTATTAATTAGGCAGGCTAGCCCGCCCAGTCCCGCGGGTTGGCCCGACGGGTTGGCGGGGCGGGCCAAAGCGAGCTGGTGGGCTGAAAACACCAACCCGCCCCACCGGGCCTGACCCGTTTTGTCATCCCTACCAGTTTTTGGCATTTTATAATTTCAACAACTAATTCATGAAAAGGAATAGGAATAGAGAATAAAAAACATAATTTTGTGAAGGAGAAACAACTAAAAACAGCATAAAAAATTTAGAACATAAAAAAAAAATTAAGAAAACAGAGAGAGAAGATGAAGGTGAGCAAGAGAACCAAACAATTATGAAAACAAATAGAAAAAAAAATGAATAAGGGGAACGAAGGGAGCCAACCAGCACATGCACATATGAAGATGAAAGGGGACTATATCACATCATAGGGAGGAGATGAGTCACATCGTGGAGGAGATAACAAGAGTGCAATACACAACATCCCACTAAAAGACAACCAGATCATGTCGTGCAGAAGGGAGACGAAAAATACACCATTGCATAGAGTACAGTGCAAGCAGAATGCATTGTGACAAAGTGTTTAGCACGGATGAGTGTTTCAAATTGGGGAGGAGAGGAATGGTGGATAGAGTAATGAAATGGGGGAAGAAGAAACCCTGCTCACTATCAAAATGCAATACAACATAATGAACTATTAAAATGTTAATAGCTACATTGCACAAACACTAGTGAGTGTTGATAGTGGCATATGATATCATAAATACTAAATAGTAGGGTACACATGCGAGAAGTTATATTGTATGAATATGAAAACATAATGTTTTGAAAATATATCATGAGATTGGAGATGCGCACAAACACAAGTGTCGTCGAAAACAGAAAAGATGACCACAAGCAACAGCTATGACAAACGGATATCCACGCGAAAAGCAGCAGTACCGATGACCACGACCTGTCACGAAGACGAACAGCCACATGCAGCATGAACATGGACAATGAACTGAGGCACAAAAACACAGACCCACACTTCCAAACAAGACAAGCCTATCTAACGTTCAAAACATGACCATATGACCCTTGTAAGTGACGTTTTCTGTCTTTCCCCCACACTTGTTCACCCAAGTCAAACTTGCAAGTTTGAACCAAGTCCACCTAGTCTACACACGAGTCTCCTGAATTTGTTTAAAATCGAGTCTACCCACGAGTCAACTCGTGGGACAACAGCACACCCTTCTTGGAAGGGTTTACAAGTTAACCCTAGGGTTTTAATAACCATGACCCAAACCCATTAATGTACAAGAAATAAGAAAAATTGTCCAAAGATAGTACAATATTTGACAACACTCCATTACGCTGGAACATATATAAATAAAATGGATGTTATACACAACTCACACACACCAAAAAGGACAATGAGTAAACTGAGAAAAGAATGAGGAACAGACAGTGCATACAGATTTTATGGAGGGGGAATTAATTCAGGGAATGCTCTACAACAGCACCAACCAGTTATGACAAGTGAGTATCAAAAATTAAAAAATATAAAAGAAAGACAAAAGGAAGGCAAAATAAATGAAAGATGCAGAACAACCAGAATACAACTCTATCATCATATTGGCTCTAACTTCTGCTAAACCAAATCAATGCCCATTCAAGTATGTATGTTTTGTGAAAAACAGGACCTTGCTAATACGCAGAAGTAGAAAAAAGTTATCATATATTTCATTATAACTATGAAGGTTTGATCAATTCCAAGACAAAATTACCTTAATGTTGTAATCATCTCTTTCAGTAATTTGCTGCAGCAGATGTTGGTTTTGAGTCTGCATGTCATCATATGCTTGTCCAATACTCTGCAGGAAAATTGTGCCAACAGATTTAGACCAACACCATTTCCAGATTTAGAAACAATAATAAAAGAGAATAATCAGTAAAAATGTCATTTTGCAGCAAAGAATTCCACCCCCATTAAGTTAAGATATCCAACCTCTATTTCAGATAAGTAGTTCTCATTTTGTTTGTTCTTGGATTTCAAGACATCAGACAGATCACACATTTGCCTGAGATAGGAATAACAATGGACAAATAGAGTTAAACACCAATAAAATAATATAGCAGAAAAAAGCACAGTTGCACACATATGAGACAACTTTCAGCTGTTTTCACAAAAATAGAGTTAAACTTAGACTCTATTGACAAAGCATATAAGCAAATTCATCAAACCAACATGATAGAGTGACTATATTTTCCTTGTATTGAAAGGTCAGGAGAATTAACAAAAACAAAATTGATAAAAGTATTTACAGAATGTAATGACAAAGCAATTTTGCTTCATTAAGTGGAAGTTCAGAGAAATTAACAGAGCAGCACATATAGAAAAGGATTTAAGAAAAAAGAATTCTTGTTTATCAAACAAAAGACCCAAATAATTAGAAAATCCAACAAAAAACCCAAATAATAAGAAAATCCAAGACAAAAATAATAGAATTTCTCTTTTATCCCCCCATTTCCTCAAGTAATTTCATAAAAAATAAACAAGAAAAATTAATTTGCAAACTTACACTCTGATTTCTATATGAAATAATAAAAAATAAAAAACATAAAAGAGTAAGAAAAAAGTTAACTAAGAGCACCTGCTGTAAGAGGGAGGAGAAAAAAATAGAGAAATTATAACTTTGGTCAAACACCCTTATTCTTTATAGACAAAACCAAGAAACCAAAAAGAACACCTCACATTCATTCATGCAACTGTCTCGAGGCAAATCGCCATATCTGATTTAAGATAATGTCTACTTTAACATTTTTGTAATTTCACTTGCATTTCTTCTGTTAGAGAGTTTGTTAGCTTGTCTGTCAGTTGCTGACTCAGCATCGAGTCAACCACGCTTTGTACTGTCCTCTTAGTTATAACTTCACAGTTCATTTTCTCTCTGTTATGTTTTCTCTGCTACTAGTGAGGCAAAATAGAATTGTATAACACATCTCCCAGTAAGCACATGTAAGATGCATAGATCACACTCTCAATTAGTAGCATTAAATTAGAGTCAACCTTTTAGAATCTTCTAATTTCTGTCGCATGTCCGCTATCTCAGCTTCACCAGCAGCCAGCTTTTGTTGTGATCTGGCCTCTGCTTCATTGGCTGTCTTAACTCGAAATTCCAAGTTGTGCTCATCAAGTGATGATTTCAAACTTTGAACACGTGCCCATGCTCTGTATTCTGCTTCCCGTGCATCCATGACATCCCTGCAGACACAGATCTCTGTTAGTATTTCACATTTTCTGTTTGATGCGTTGGGGAACCTAGCACGGCAAAATGTTATTAGTTCTATCAAAATGTCAACCATAGTCAAAGTTTGTCTTTTATTTTTCAAAATTTTGTTATACTAAAATTTGATAGAAGAATTTCATTAGAAAGAAATCAAAGTTTGAAAACTATGTATCAAATGGGTGAAACAAATAAAATACCAGTAACATATAACAAATAAAATAGAAACAAAGATATAATCAATACTTAACAATCTCACTAAAGTTGGAGCATGAATCACAATTGTGCCCAACTTATTGCAGACATGGTTAACTCTGCTCTCATTTTGTTGCCTAGTAAAAGTATCAGCTGGAAGTTCCCAATCTATGACGTGACTTGTGGTAATACAAGTTTTTTGACAATATCCCCAAATCAAAAATGAAAATTAGGTTGTGCCAATACAAACCCAAGCTAAAACCAGTGACGAAATTACGGAGGAAGATGCCACAAAAGCTACCCATCGTAGTTGAAGAGCCCAATGTGGGACACAAGTGGATCATATAACCTGAATTTGTTAGGAATGGCCAGTGGTCAGAGATGACTGGAAACAATAGACTACAGGATGCTGCAGATATTGGGGATGGCTAAAAGCTCAGTGCTTCAATCCAATTTCAATGTGTGGGGGTGGGGCTTGTGTCCCACATTGGAAATGTGGGATTTACGCATGGTAGTGGATCATATAACCTTCTCCCACTTCCTGCATTGCTTTAATCATAGCTTTTCACGAAGTTTGGTTACGGCAAAGAGAGGGGTCTCCTTTTATTACCAATTTTTTCTTCCTTGCTTTCATTTAAGAGTTAAATGCCTAAAATTGGCTTTGACATTCCTGAAAATGGAAAACCACTCCATCCCAAATACCACCTCCGGACCTCATAAGGTCATCCAAAGAAAAATGTTGTTCAAACTCAATTCCTTGGACCTGCAACTTCAATGCATGGCAATGCCCTTTCTGCACCACTTGATCCCCATTTCCTACCTCCGCAGTTTATTTTGGAGTTGTAGACAACTCCATCCTAGTTCTTCTACTAATTGAGAAGATATGAAATTGGTAGATGCTCCCGAGTCAATCAAGGAAGTTTGAAAGAATTATAAGTGAGGCCTTGAGTGCTTTTCAAGGATAGTTTCATCACTTTCACCTCTTGCTTCATTTCCTCTTCTACTTTTTCCTCCCCACTTCCCTTATCCCCTTCTTCTACTAATTCTAGTGTAAAATGCTTTAGTTTACAAACATGACCATGGCCCCAACATTCTGCACACTATAAGCACAACCCCCTTCCTACTCAATTCCTCCTATGTCAATCTTTTTCCGAGTTCTAGTTTCTTACTATCCACATCCCCTACATTGGGTTTATTCTCAATTTCGGACTCCATATGGGTTTTGGGCTTTGTCACATAAGTTTTAATCCTTCCTGGACAACTTCCCCAACTACTGGGCCCCACCTTCCACTTGTTCATCCTCTCTCCCCACTCATTTTTCAACAACTTCCCTTTCCACGTTGCATTATTTTTCTCCTCAATAAGCATGGCTTTGTCCATCATCTCCATTAGAGTACGTGTCTCATAGAACTTCAACTCAGCTTGTATCTCCTCCTTTAGGCTGTTGAGAAAGATGATCGAGAGCAACACCCTCTCATTTCTTTTCAAAAGTGCAGCCAACATCTCAAACTACTCCCTATACTCCATCATCGTTTCATTTTGTCTCTCACTTAGTATCGGGCCCATTGGGTTCTGAACTAATCCTAGTTGGAACCTCCTAATTATAGCTGGTATAAATTCATCCCAACTCCTGACAATGGTTTGTTCTTCCCACCATTGATACAAGTTCAATGCACGTCCTCCAATGCAATCATTACTGCATCCCAACGTTCCTCCTCAAACACCTGATTGATCTAAAGTACATCTCAACCTTCACCAGCCACCCATAAGCTTCTTAACCATTAGAAACCAGAATCTCCAACTTCCTACCACTAGTATGATGCCATCACACATGACTACCTCCACTTCCCTGCAATATCGAGTGTGCGACTCTATTCTTAGCTTCCTCCATGATTTCGTTGAGGCGATCTCCCCCTTCATCCTTGTTGTTGGTTCTTGATCAGTTGGCGCAACTCTTCCATTTGATTTTGTCCCTCTACCCTCATCTCTTAGAGCTCAAGCTCCAACGCCTCCACCCGTATGTCTATCAATGCAACTATGGAACACACCATTTATCCCTCCCGAAACAAACAGAATCGACCTCACTCTGAATACCAATTGATAGGTAATTATCAAGTAGTAAATAGATTTTGATCAACTAGTAAAGAGATGAAACATGTATTCTAGCAAAGGAATCACCAGAACCCAACCACAACCTAATTCCATAATTTTTTCCCCTCCCTTTCTCAAGTACTTACCTGAATAAGTACCCTCTCTCTCCCTCCCTCAGCCGCCTAGGCTGAGTTAGTTACAAAAATATTCCCTCCTTTCCCTCTCTCCTCAAGGCCTATTTAGGCATTCTAGAATATACTTCAAATCTATTGGGCCCCTTTACGACTGTCACTCATATCTGCATCACTGTCACTTTTGTGTAGACAATCCAGCTCTTGCTAAAGCTACAATTCCTGACAAAATTCTCTCCTAGTCATTGAAGAATAATTGGATGCGCTACAAATTGCAGCATAATCTCAAAGGATGATCTACATGAGGATGTCATCAAATCAACATGCAAGAGGCTGACATTAACACACCAGCATTTCAACACCAGGTCACTTGAGGCTCTCATCATTTGTCAATGTTCAATGAACACCACCTTGAGACCATTCCTTTGTATGTTGGTATTGATATTCTTTGATGACATCATAATCAACATCCAAACATGGGAGGTCACTTGTAACACTTGAGCTAGTCCTTTGCACAGTACACTTTACAATCAAAACTGAAGTTTTGGAAAATGCATATAATATTCAATGCAAACTATTTCACAGGAAGGTGCAACCATGATTTTTAAGATCATGGTACACAATAAAAAATATATATACCATACTCAATATTTAAGTTTAGTACATAAATTATTAGTATATAAATTAAAACTACACCAAAATAAATAATTTCATATATTATACCAGTAAAATACAAATTGTCAAAGTGATAATAGTTAAATAACTTTTAAAAAAACACTTAATTTTATGTCTCCAACCAAAACAGAACACCAAACATGAAATAGAAAAAAATAATTAACAAAATTGAAATGCATAAAAAGCAAAAAATAAACACAAAAATGAAACACTCTCCCTGTACAAAAAGTATATAAAACATTCATATTCTCTCAATATTTGATTGACAAAATTCTCTCTACCATCAGCTTTAACGTATGCATTTAAACTTTCAGAATAATGGTCATCCCACTATAACTGTTTCATGGTCATGAAGTCCACACTGCTATTCAGGAACAATGCTGCTAACACATCTTCTACTGTCCAATAAAAATAAATTTTAATTTGTTTACACTATTCATTTGTTCCTAAACATTTGTCCAGAAAGTTTCTTGAAATGTAAAAACCTAGTTATAAAATAATATGTAAACCAGAACAACTCAGCACATAAAATGAACTCAAGCTCATGATTGAAAGTCGAACCTTGAATCAATGGACTCACGTCTAAACATTTCCAACATCAACTTCAGGTCCATTTCACTTTCTTTCAAACCTTGAAACTGCATCAAAAGCAAAACAAACTTTCTAACATGAAAAGAAAGGAAGGATTAGAAATTCAACTTTATCAGCCTGTATGGCCTTTATATGAATTTGTATACAAAATTAATTTCATTAAACATATTCTTCTCATTTCAGAACAGACAATTTAAATATACCTTGCAGAATAATTAAATTAATAATCCCTATATATCATCTCAGTCAATGAAATATCAATAATATAGAGAATACCAAATTTTATTTTATGATACAACACAGATACAAACTCAAATAACCATACTAATGCAGCACAGCTTAAGTTTTTGAGTCAAATACAACATACCACACCAAGCAGCCTCTTTATCTCAGCAAGTTGATCAGCAGACTGAGCAGAAAATGCATCACATTCTTTTACCTGTTATTCAAAAACAAACTTTTCAGGACCTGTGAATTTGTGCTACCAAAATCTGCAGTTCATGTGCAAAAATACACCAACCTTCCTGTCAAGAATACTAGAAATAGATTGCACATCTGCACGAAGAGAATGGATATCTGAAGCTGATTCTTTATATTTTCTTAGTTGGCTTTGCATAGACCCCATTTCCTCAGGAAATGAAGAAACCAGAGATTTAAATTCAGCAATAATTTGTTTTCTTCCTGAAGCCAAAGCAAAGGTATCACACATTATAAAACCACACAATGATAAGATAGCATGCCTTATACAATAAGGGGAAGGGGGATCCGGACCTGGTTCTCTTGCTTCTTCTTTCAGTTTGTTTTCAATCATATTTCTTTCCTCTATCTTTTTCTGTATCTCAGAACGTAGATCAGCCACTCTAAAATCTGAAACTGCCACAGATCTTTGAAAAATATCTGCTAAATCATTTTTAATGTACCACTCCCGCTCCCTCCATGTAAGAGTATCCTTCTCAACCTATAAGAATATAGCAAAATTTTGGTTTGGAAGGGAAGCTCAAAATCAGTATTAGATACAAGCAAAAAGGGCAATTATCAAAAGGCATAACTGAAACTACCGACCAGTTACAACCTGAAGTTTCTCATACAAGGCCTTATACTCCAGTACATCTGATTTTGATTTTTCTATCTGATCTTTAACCAATTGGAAAGCATGGGAAGAAGTAATACACTTCAAATTCTTCAAAGTGTTCTGATTCAAACATTCAACACCAAAAATTATAAAAATAAAATATAAAGGAAAATACACACATACATTGTACAATATAAATACCAGTTAAAATACTGGAGTACACAGTACTAGGGGAAACTTACCTGTATATCACACAACTGCTGTAATATTCTTATCCTTTCCTCATGAAGACTTTTCAGTTCCATTAATCGATTAGAACCCTGGTCCTGAGAAACTCAACAATTAGGGTAAAATAAGAATCTACAATTAAGAAACGCTAAAAATTCTGAAGCTAAAACAAAGAATCCAAGAACTATACCAATAGCTCCTTCAAAGTAGATTCCATATCTTGCAAATCCTTCTGCTTGTCTCTGATCTTATCACTAGGAATGTGTGTACTTCCAACATTTAAGACTGGGAGAATTGCCCCTTTTGCAGCATCTCTCTCAGCCTTAAGCGTTGCAAGTTTGTGATTGCTTTCTTCTAACTCTGCAACAGCACTAGCCAGTTCCCCTGGGTAAATCAATAACAGTAAGACAAATAACTTGATATTGAATGCCAACCTTCAGGGCATGAAATAGATTCCTAGTAGGAGAATTTTTTTTCTCTCTTTTCCAAGATCTTTTTGAGATAGAGCAACAGAATATAAATGTTAAAAGTGTAACTCCTGTCTAAAACAACAAACTTGAATACATATCCATCAATTCCAACAAATTTAAACAAAAAAGCTACAGAAAGTGTTTTCAAGAAATGAAGAGAACAAACAAAAAGTAGATCAACCAAACTATAAGAACGGTACAGTTGAGAAAATACCAAAATATATTATTCATGATAGATGGCTCAAATTTTTGCAACTAGTAGGAGTATATGTATTCACTTTTCTAATATTTTGATTTACCTTCCTATATAGGGATTAATTGTGGGTTTGGTGTGGTCCCCCCACTTTATTTTGTATTTTCCCTTTTTTATATGATACTCTGAGGTGCTACATATGATTGGTGTTGTTTACAGTACCATCTTAATTCAGTTACTAACATAGCAATGCTTTAGCACTCTCATTTTTATTAAAAAAATATACAGCCAACATCATATATAAAATATAACTTTAAGAAGCAATAAGTACAAAACAAGTAAAATATATAGAGAATAACATATTTAAAAATATGCACAACTCCAATCATGATTTTTTATACCAATATTTTCACTTTACAGATGTAATGAATTGCTTTTTCAACTTCTATCTCAAAAAATGTTTTAAAAACCACACCTGCATTGCAAAAATTAAGGAATTGATTCAAGATTCAATGGTTGAACTGATATTAATAAAATATTAATAATAATTAAATAATTGAACAATATATAAAATTAAATTAGAAAAATAAAATATCCTAGCTTAATAATACTAAATAACACGTTTAAATCAAATCAAATATACAATACTTAGGTCTAAGTTTCCACAATACAGAATAAATGACAATTTTAAATCAAGAATAAAAAAGAAAAGGACAAATATACATTTTCATTAAAAATATATAAAAACATATTTTGCATTGCCCTGTTGTAAACCAGTCTTTACCCTTTTCTTGATTTTTGACTGGTTTTTAGAGTGGTTCAAACTCAAAAAAATAAAATAAAAAAGAACAATTCAAGCATTACCCAATAATCATTCTGATTACAAAAACATAAAATACTCAATAACTTGCATGCAAATCCATTCCAAGCTCAAATCCAGAAGTGAAGAGTGATTAAGAAACAGAACTGCAATTCCAATAAAACCTTAAATTCTGCAATATAAGGGCCGATACTGGTTTTATTTATGTGCAGTTCATTAACTTATCCATTACATCCTAATTCAATATGATGAAAATAAAAACAAAATAGATTAAATAGAATGAGAGGTTCATGTGGAACCAAACAATAGAATTGCAATGACACTCTTATCGCCATTGATTTGATAAGCAAGGAAGGGGGAGGAAACTAGACACAAAATTGCTATGAATGTTTAGACAAGCAGGAAAAAGATAAATATCCCATGCAGACACAAAATTGCAGGAATCTATCATTTTAGTCAGGTAAATGTAGTGCACACAAAAAATTGCAGCTGAGTATTTGATCTCAATTCATAAGGCTTGCCATATCTCTTTCAAGATTAGTTAGCCTATAGTTACACTCTGTAACTGACTTCTCCTTTGTATGTGACTGCTACATTTGGTTTGTATGAGGGGGGAAATCTTTGATTGCACCCAATGTTATCAATATCAGATAACGAAAAATTTTGGCAACCCATAAATCTTTTACAGAAACATATCAGAAGTTATAATAGATTATGGCAGAAGCATCACGGCCAAAAATTGAAAACAATATATAAATATGGATAAACAAATAAATTCAGAAATATAATTTCAATGCAAAAATAATGAAAACAATCATATAATTAGTACTAATAACATGTCTAATAAATTCAAACGACAATAGATATTCGGGGGTTTCGGTTTTTATAGAGAATGAGTATTGAGTAGAAAAGATGGACAAAAAAAGAGAAAAATTCAGAGGGGAGAATAAGAACAGAACCAACAAGGTAATCGATAAAAAGAAAAAAGAAATGAGAACCTAGCAGTTTGGGTTAACGGAGAGTATTGGTAGAAGAACAGGTGGCGGCACAGCAATGGGTTGATGGTGAGAGAAGGCCACCGGCGGCAGCTTTACAGGTCACATGTGCCAGAGGAACAGGTTGCAAGCGGCAGAGTCGCCAATGGCCAGCGGCTATGGTAGTTGAACTGGTTTTCCTTTTAGGGTTACGACTTGTTCAAGAAGGTTAGCTTAGGTTTCTTTTTCTTAGTTTTGGGTTGGGTTTGGGTTGGATTGTACAACCCAACCCATTTATTTTAGATCTATTGGGCTTGGTTGGGTTAAGGGACGCACAATAGTTTTATAAATAAATTAGGGTTTCTTTCGGCCCCAAGTCTTGGTCAAGTTGCCCTAGATCGCAAGTTCTTCTTTCTTTCTAAGGAGGCATGGGGCCGGCAGACCAGGGCACAGTTTCCACAATTACCCATCCACAGCCCCATTCAACAATGGCCGCTTTCCACAGCCCCATTCAACAATGTCCAAAGCGGCCGTGATGGGCCACAATGGAAATCTTGCATTGCCATCGCCATGTGTTAGATATTGTTTATATATTATTTGATATTGTTAAGATATTGTTAGATATTGGTAACCACAATATCAAACAATATCTTCTCGTTTATTCTGTTACTTTCGCTACTCTTTTAGTTGTATATCTCTACTATAAATAGACTACCCTATGTGTGATTTATACACAAGGGAAATTAATTCCAAACCATATTTTCTCTATATTCAACATGGTATCGAGCTTAAGGTTCTCTTGAATTTTTTTTTCCGCCTTTTGTCCACTCGTTGGAGCCGCCCCACCGCCGCTAGAGCCTCCCCACCGCTGCTAAAGCCGCCCCACCGCTGCTCGGTAACCGATCCTCCACATCGAAAAGAATTATCTTTGTCATTGAATTTTATTTGGTAGTGTGAAAGTGCATGTTTAGGAAAGTTCCGACAAGGAAAGACTTGGTATTTAAGTGTGTCCATTAGTGACCCACCTCTCTTTCCCGGGAACTTACCTAGTGTACTAGTTCACGTTATCGTCACCGCTGCGTTGGAGCGAGTCTCCGGTCCGCCGTTGTCGGAGAATTCGCGGAGTTTCATTTTTTTTTACCGGTGACATATGATTTTGCTTGTCTCGGTCGGGGTTTGTTCTCCCGCTCTTCATGACTTCTTCCACTATTTCCAATTTTGTTAACGATTCTTTTGTGTTGACATCCCATCGTGATGACCGGGCTCGCCCTCGCAAACAGGAAAAAGGGCGTCCTAAGTGTGAACATTGTGGCAAGCTAGGTCACAAGATTAACAAGTGTTATACATTACATGGTCGTCCTCCTCGATCTGCTGTAGTTGTTCGGACCAATCTTTCCCCACCTTTATCCGTAGGGATCTTCCTTCTTCGTTGCATCCGACATGTCCGCTATGTTCAACAAATTTCTCGAATGGTATAAGGATCAACGGTCTTCTAGTTCCACTATATCTCGTCACACATACAAATACATATTTTGTCGGTCCGACCCAATCATTTTCTCCTGGTCCTTGGGTTTTTGATTCAGGAGCCACTCGATCATATTACCGGTAACAAATCTTTGTTCTCCTCTTTATCCTCTCCTAATCATTTACCTTCGTTACACTCGGTCGATGGCTCTAGAGTATCATCTCATGGTGTTGGAACGGTTAAACTTTTTCCTTCTTTAACCATTGATAATGTTCTTTATGTCCCTGGGTCTCCTTTTAACCTCGTTGTCCATCGGTCGTCTAACTCGTTCTCTTGATTGTGTTGTTACTTTTACCAACAATTCGGTGTGTTTACGGGACCGGAGTTCGAAACAGTGTGATTGGCACAGGATGTGAGTCTCATGGTCTTTATTATCTCCGTCCCTCTACACATGTTAGTACAGTTATGGAGTCTCCTCTCTTCTTCATGCTCGGTTAGGTCATCCAAGTCTTGCCAAGTTACGTAAACTTGTCCCCGCCTTGTCTAACTTATCTAGTTTGGCGTGTGAGTCATGTCAATTAGGCAAGCATAGTCGTACTTCCTTTCCTCGTAGTTTCACACGTGGTGCTTCGTCCCCTTTTGCCGTGGTTCACTCGACATTTGGGGACCTAGCCGCGTTAAGTCTACTTTAGGTTTTCAATACTTTGTTACTTTCATTGATGATTATTCCGGATGCACTTGGTTATTTTTGATGAAAAATCGTTCGAATTATTTCATATCTTTCAAACTTTTTTAATGAAATTCAAACTCGCTTCGGTGTTTCTATTAGAGTTTTGCGTAGTGATAATGGCCGTGAATATCTTTCTCATTCTTTTAAACAATTCATGGCTTCTCACGGTATTTTGCATCAAACTTCTTGTGCTTATACACCTCAACAAAATGGTGTAGTCGAACGTAAAAATAGACATCTTATTGAAACAACTCGCACACTTTTAATTCATGGAGATGTTCCTCAACATTTTTGGGGTGATGCTCTTCTTACTGCATGTTATCTCATTAATCGCATGCCTTCTTCGGTTTTAGATAATAAAATACCTCATTCCATTTTATTCCCTCATGAACCACTTCATCCTTTACCTCCGAAAGTTTTCGGGTCTACATGTTTTGTTCATAATTTTAGTTCTAGTCTGGACAATCTTTCTCCTAGATCACATAAATGTGTTTTCTTAGGGTTTACAAGATCACAAAAAGGATACAAATGTTTTTCTCCTTCTCTTAACCGTTATTTTGTGTCAAAAGATGTCACCTTTGATGAGTTGTCTCTTTATTTTAAAAGTCAAACTTCACCTCTGTCTCCATCCAATCTTGTCAACACTCCTAATACATTTAATGTTCCTGTTGTTTGTGACCCTCTAATTGTGTCTTCTTCACCATTAGTTCTCGCTCCGCAGTTAGCTTCTTCTCCACTCGCCTCTTCGATTTATAGTTCTCGAAACCAATCACAACCACCACCATGTGACTCTACTCAAGTGCCAACTACTCGTCTCCTCCGGATCCGACACATGAGTCCGACCTTCCCATTGCCCTCCGAAAAGGTATTCGTTCTACATGTAATCCCTCTCCCCATTATATTGCTTTGAGTTATCATCGATCGTCATTACCTTTTTATACATGTCTTTCCTCTATTTCTTCCGTGACCATTCCAAAACCGTCTCGTGAAGCTTTAGCCCATCCTGGTTGGCGTCAGGCCATGTTAGATGAACTAAGTGCTCTTCATAATAGTGGAACTTGGGAATTGGTCCCGTTACCGTCTGGGAAATCTGCTGTTGGTTGCAGGTGGGTGTTTGCTATCAAAGTTGGACCCGATGGTACTATTGATCGCCTCAAAGCTCGTCTTGTGGCCAAAGGTTATACTCAAATTTTTGGGTTGGATTATGGAGATACCTTTTCCCCGTGGCAAAGATGGCTTCGTTCGTTTATTTATCGCCATGGTCGCTTCTTCAACAATGGCCTCTTTATCAACTCGGATGTTAAAAATGCTTTCCTCAATGGTGATTTGCAAGAAGAAATATATATGGAGCAACCTCCTGGGTTTGTTGCTCGGGGGAGTCTTCTGGGATGGTATGTCGTCTTCGCAAATCCCTATATGGCCTAAAACAGTCTCCTAGGGCTTGGTTTGGAAAGTTTAGCAAGGTTGTTCAACAATTTGGTATGACTCGGTGTGAATCGGATCATTCCGTCTTTTATCGACACTCGAGTGCTTGGATGTGTTTACTTGATAGTATATGTTGATGATATTGTTCTTACAGGTAGTGACAACCATGGCATCTCTCGGTTGAAACAACATCTTTGTCACCATTTTCGGACCAAAGATCTTGGCAAACTTAGATATTTCTTGGGTATTGAGGTAGCACAGTCCAATGATGGTATTGTTATATCTCGGAGGAAGTATGCCATAGATATTTTGGAGGAAACTGGGTTGATGAGTTCAAAGTATGTTGATACACCCATGGATCCCAATACTAAACTTCTACCAAATCGGGGGAGCCTATATCTGATCCTCGAGCAAGTATAGAAGATTGGTTGGAAAATTGAATTATCTTACGATTACTCGTCCCGACATTTCCTTTGCGATCAGTGTGGTAAGTCAATTTCTTAATTCACCATGTGAAGATCATTGGAATGCAAGTCATTCGTATCTTGAAGTATATTAAAGGATCTCCTGGAAAAGGATTGTTATATGCTTCTAATAACCATACAAGAGTTGTTTGCTACTCGGATGTCGATTGGGCAGGATCTCCTTCGGATAGAAGATCTACATCTCGGATATTGTGTCTCCATTGGTGGTAACTTGATTTCATGGAAAAGTAAGAAACAAAGTGTTGTGGCAAGATCCAGTGCGTAAGCGGAATATAGAGCTATGGCCTCAGCCTTCCCGTGAACTTGTTTGGCTCAAGCAATTGCTTAGAGAGTTACAATTTGGAGATGTCACTCAAATGACACTTGTGTGTGACAATCAGTCGCTCTTCATATTAGTTCTAATCCTGTCTTTCATGAGAGGACCAAACACATTGAGATTGACTGTCATTTTATTCGAGAAAAGATTATGTCTGGAGATATCAAGACTGAGTTTGTTAACTCAAGTGATCAGTTAGCAGATATTTTTACTAAATCTTTACGGGGTCCTAGAATTGATTATATTTGTAACAAGCTTGGCACATACGATTTGTATGCTCCAGCTTGAGGGGGAGTGTTAGATATTGTTTATATATTATTTGATATTGTTAAGATATTGTTAGATATTGGTAACCACAATATCAAACAATATCTTCTGTTTATTCTGTTACTTTCAGTTACTCTTTTAGTTGTATATCTCTACTATAAATAGACTACCCTATGTGTGATTTATACACAAGGGAAATTAATTCCAAACCATATTTTCTCTATATTCAACACCATGCTATGGTGGCCAATGAAATATCCGCAACCAATTTCTGTCATGGTGTCACCAGGGCCATTTCTTGATAACACCGATGCACCCCACATTTTATTTCATCAGACCAAAGGCCCTAATTTCCAATTCACTCCTTTGGAATGATAAATAACACATTACTCTCAATGGTCTCATCTCTCATGGCACTCTAGTAGTGTTTTCAGCTAACCCATAATATTAATGTGTGGAACTCTGGCATAGCAAACTGTAGCCTCTACTCTATACACATCCTTTGGGTTCTGTTTATGTCAAAGAGGGGTCTATGCCCTTAAAAGATACGAGACCACAGATAGCGAAAATAAAGAACACAGAAATAGAGACAACATTCAGAAAACAGATATATGGACCATAGGTTAGAAATCAGAACTCAGCAGAATCAAAAAAAGTCAGTAACTCATCAAGGACCAAAAAGTCCAGAGGGACCAGCCAAGAAACTGACCAACTCAAGGCAGAAACATTGGGACAGATCACGGAATGAGGGGAATCGAGTGTGAAGATGCAAACAGAAGCACACAGGAATATGAGGGCAGAAGAGATTAAAGTAAATTGGGTCAAGATAAGTGGGTTTGCTTTTGAGTAGTGGGTTGGAGAACACAACATATGACCCATATAGAATAACAGAGCAAGACTGGACAAGCACAGATTTCATGTCCCAGCAAACATACTTGCTGTCACACATTATCCCACTAAATCCAGATCCCAGTTCTGATGCAGCACAGGTGGCTTTCTAAAAAGCATAAGATACTGCAATTTTCTGACCTTGCTCGTGATCTAGACAACCCTTATTACTCAAGCAGTTTTTTATTGTTTTTATTTTAAACAATATCTCATCAGTGTTGTATTTTGTTCCTTTCTGTCAACTAAATAACAGGAAAATAAAATAAAAGCACATATAAAACATAGGCTTCTCCATGCATTACAGGCACTGATATTGCTATATGATTTCAAGAGTCCATAGTTCACAGTGGGGATAGAATGCATAAGAGCACGGTAGAGACAATTCACCTTTTAATCTTTCAAGGTCAGCTTTATTTTTGGCATCAAGATCTCTCTGTATTTGGAACTCACTTGATAAAGACTTGTGCTTTAAATGAAGTTCACTGAATTCCAATCTCAAGTTTTTAACTTTCACATCTAGATCAGAGGACAATTTCTGCCTACACAAAACTATAAACAAGCAATGTAAGCAAAAAAGCAAAGAGAATGCTATGAAAGAATAACCCTAACTTTCAAAAATTATATACATCGAGCACTCATATCTTACCATCTACAGGAAGCTTTTTCAGTAATGCAGTATGCAATCCATCCATCAGAACCCAAAGATTATTAACAGCTGTTGCCATATTTTTTAAAATGCTTTTAGCTTTTTCAGTAATAATTTTTCTATTCTCTTCTGTCTGGTTTGCAAATTTATATGTGGTTGCACATTCAGTAGCACCAGATTGCATTAGACGGCTAAGAAATACATCCTGAACAGTAGATGGACAACCATCTGGCAAAATCAAAGGATCCTCATTAGCTAATACACTTTCCCAAAGTTCAGACGAATAAAGCTTCTCACATAATATCAAAAGATCAAGTAAATACCAATAATAAAGCAATTGAAGCAGGAATACCAATAATAATTCCAGGTCTATAGTTCCAAGTACTCCATAGATTAAGAAAATATGCAGCCTATTAATATTTGAAAAACAATAGCGACAACTAAAGCCTTGTCCCACTCAAGTAAAATGATATATAGTGCTTTATAGACTACAGAAAATTTTTCTAATTTCAACAACACTACAAGTTGGGAATATTTCACTGGCAAACAATTATAGAGATATAAATGCACTTGCTAAATAATTTCCCAAATCATACATAATGAGTAACTAGTCATTTTTAACACTTAATAGTAAAGTGTACTTTAAAAGAACACATTTTTTCAACCAGGTAGTTGGTTTGCAACCTTCACTTACTTCAGGCTCCCACCCTTTTTTTGTTAGTAAAGATCACTCAAGAGTCTAGGTGGTTTCATAGCAAGACATCACCAACAAAAGGTAAAAATCTATTGACATAAACAGATAAATGGATGCATATTATATACTAAACTTAGTTTGGCAAGAAGAAATGGAATGTTAAATGGGATTTAATCATGGAATCAAAGGACCCCCTCAGAACTCAAAATCTAAAGTCTCATTCCTCCAAATAGAATAGAGATTCCATTATATTTACTTCCATGTCCTTCTAAATTTATAAAGAAGTAAAAACTAAATATACTTATGACAAGTGCACATGCATGTCCATAAAAATATTTATACAAGCTTCTTCTTATAATGAATATTAACCTAAAAGGTTTGGCTATTAAAAATTTTTTTCACTTCTGGCAATGTTTTAGCACAATTAGTCATTTTATAAATGTACATCGTTATTGAATATAATATATTAAATCACCTCAGAAAAAATTATTTAATAGTTAATCCCCTTGCATATTTTTTTTAGTCCTTGCATCTGACAAAAATAGTATTTTTGTCCCACACCAAAATGATTAATATTAACATTTATCATGGACTTAGAACAAAAAAAAAGGACAAATTTTATCCCAAAAATTCATAGTTACAAACGATGTTGTCAAAATCATGAGTATACTCACTCACACGCAAGTAGGGAACCCCCCAAGCAAGTAAAAGCACAAGGTGGAACCAGTGTTAACGAAAAATAGCCATGGTGGCACCCATGGCGGAAATCAATCACAAATTTTTCACCACCACCACTGCTTGACAGTGGCAATGCGGGATTTCCATCACAGCCCATCATGGCAGCTTTGGATGTTGCAGAATGGCACTGCAGATTGGTAATGGTGGAAATCGCACCACAGCCCCATGCAGTCAAGGGTAACCTGACCCAGACCTAAGGGCAAATGAAACCCTAATTATTTAAAAAAAAAACAGGTTGGGTTGTACAATCCAACCCAAACCCAACCCAAAATTTAAAAAAAATAAAAATAATAACCACCATGAATCAACCATAACCCAAAATGGAAAACCAGCAACTCAGCCACAGCTTGTAGCCTTTTCCCTCACCATCAACCCACTGCAGTGCCACCACCTGCCCCCCCTTCTCCCAATGCACTCCCCTAGCCCAAACACAAACACGGAACAGGAAAGTCAGAGATCATTGTGGGATGATGATTTTGCTCGTCAAATCAACTGATCATACATCACATTGATCTTGAAAGTGTTTGTACTGGCTTGTCAAATCGCACCCAGTTTGAGTAAAAAAACTGTCCTTTTTCCACTAGGGTTCCATTATCACATTAGTCTTGTTTTACAAAAGTTGCAACCTATGCAAGATTAAAAAAACATTCAGTAATTTTCAATTTTTTATTAATTTTAAATGTGTTTAAATAATTTAAAAAATAAAATGAACTAGAAAAGAATATAATTAAAACAATAAAAGAAATGAAGGTACATGGAATTGTGGCAGCAGAACAGTACCATAATAAAGGACCTTAATTCAACTTTGTAAAATGTATGTCGAGGGGTAGCATTCCCATTCTCACAAGTAAAAAATCACCCCTCCAGAAAATATTAAATTTGAGATTTTTTTTCCTAGAATGCCCTCCTAGTTTTAAGAATGATACCATTAAGGTCCACCATAAAACCAATTGACAATATATAGAGTAGTCTAATAGGTATTTAAATCATACCACATGACATGACACAGGACTTCCAACAGATACTAAGTATCATTCAATAAACTTGACTACAGATATAAAAAAGTACATTCATATTATATATCTACATGGAAAAGAAATATTGATGCACTTATTTTACTTTCCTAATAAAAAGCATTTATTTGATTTACACCGACTAGATCTCCTATACTAAATTGAATCCACTCTCCCACACCAAAATAAAAATTGCTTTCCATGTCATTTTATTTCCTACCAAACTAGAAATCAAACTATGATTCACATTCAAGTTCAATAATTCCTAATCTTAATCAACATAATTACATTTATTGCACCAAAGATGACCTTTAAACTAAGATCAACAGAGGATTAAATAAGAATCTAGGCTACCTTTAGGATGGAATATACTAGTAAATCAATAAACATAAGTCAGAGGTTGGAGCAAGAGTAGGTTACAATGCAAAGCAGAAGTGACTATGAAGGACTTAATCGATAGCAAGTGGTACTGACATAAATAATGGTTTGAAAATTGATTTTCTTGGCATGTGTTACAGGGTACATCCATTAAATACTAACAAGGAATCTAGTACAGGATAAAAAAACAGATCAAGCCTTGTTCCAAGATGCAGAAAACAAATTCATTTAAGAAATTTACCAATTAAAAGTAGTCGCAACATATAAATTCAATAATATGATCATTGCCTTTAAAAGAAAGATTACATTACATCCTGTTGGAGTAAATGCAATAGTATTTGCATCTATTGTTGTCAGGTGTCAGACTCTATTACACTGAGGTGGCATGTCAGTTAGTGATCTGTTAAATTAGTTAGGTTTCAAACAAACTCTGTCCATACATACATACATATAAAGGATTTCTCTAAACAGGTAGTCAACTTAATTCATTTAACAAAATGTCAGTTTCATCAATGGAATTCCTCTCTCATTCTTTAAACTTAATTCTACACGTCCATGAATAGACTCATCCAAATTTATCCAAGATTCAATATTTAAAAACACAATCACACACACACACACACATATATATATATAGAGAGAGAGAGAGAGAGAGAGAGAGCTCCAAGCTATTAGGTTCCCCACAAAAATAACAAACTAAGGATGATCTAGCAAAATCAAAGATTCAAAATTTAAACATAAAACAATGACCTAGTAAGACCAAAATAGTGGACAAACTAGGTTCCCTCTAGTCAATCCCATATATAAAGAGTGCAACATTTACACTTTAAAATGAAGCTTCCAGATGTCAAAATCATATAAAAAACTAAGTTGTTGGCATGAGTAAGGTTTCCAATGGATCTCTAACACGAGATACAAAACAGTGAGAGCTAGTATTAGCCTTTAGACATCTGTATTAGCTCTGCTATCAGGTTAGATTGCTTTGCTCCTAGAAAAGCTCTTCCCCACCCCGCCTCCCTTCTCCCCAAAAAAAATGCTACGAAACCTTTTTTTGTTGAAATTTAAACCAAAGAAAGGTGATCCAAATAAGAAGGCATTTAAATACTCTTACATGAATGATCAATCATATGCCCTTTAGGGATACATGAAGTAAAGAAACTAAAGACACAACCAGCGATAATTTAAGTGGTTAGTTTTTTTGGGAAGGTAAGCCTACAATTGATCACTCTAGTTTATTAATATTCTACTCAAAAAAATTGCATACATGATATTATATATGATGTATAGGTTTAATTGTAAGTAGAATAAACATGTGAGTAGCTTAGGGCCATGGTTGTCAAAATCGCAATTCAAAACATAAGATTGTACGAATCTACAATCTTTTCTCTCATCTTTGACTCTGTGTGCCACAAAATAGCGATTTTTGCGGATTGCGTGAAATAGTTATCGAAGATCGAGACTCGCATGGTTGCTTTGTCTCTGTTCATGTGGGTGTGATGGGCAATGATTGAATCGGGTGTGGCGGCTGGATCGCTAGCTACATCACTGCATGTTGGGTGTGTTGCAAGTGTGGCAGCTACAAGGTGTGGTTGTCTATCTTACTCCTGAACTAAATTTAATTAGGTTAAATCTCCTCATCAACTCAACAATCCCAAAGCCCAACAACCCAGCTCAATCCCACTTTCAGACTAACAAAAAGTAAAAGAAGTGTGAAGGCAGCCTCAATCAAAATTAATTAAAACGTCCTCTTAAGAAAAGGAAGTTGATTCATCTCTATCCAGTTAATCCCGAGAGACTCTTCCTTAATTTAAAAAACTCCTAAGATTTTCTCTCTCCTACTGCAATGCGGATGCTATCATTGTGCAATTTACAAAAAAAAAAAACTTTCCTCTCCATATTTTTTACATAAAATATTAAAAGATCTTTATTATATTGTTTTTTTTATTATCATAGCAAATTGAAATTTAAATATTTGGCATATATATGAATTTCATAAATTTTGTAAAATCTTACTATCCGTTTTACGATCTTTCAATTTACAATTTATACTACCCTTTCCAATCTTAAGTAAGATCTCGATTTTGACTATCATGCTTAGAGCTACTCCTTAGTGTTATGACAGCTGTAGAATTGTTGTAACAGCTGTCAGTTTGTTAGATCTAGAGTTCTAAAAATACAACTCTATAAATACCTTTCTGCAATCACATGTAAAATTATTCAGTTCTTTATGTTCACATATACTCTGTTATCTACAATGCATGAAGTGCACATTGCCCATTTGAACAAAGGAAAAGCTAAAATATTAGTTTAGATTTTTATGACTTCTGATTGAAATTTACATAATGTGGCACAACAAATATTAGTTTTAGAGCACACTTAGGAAGGACTAAAATTAAAAACCACAAAACACAATAATACATTAAATGTTTGTATCTACACCCAACAGAGAAAGTAGTGTTTTTTCTGTAGAATGTTTTTTGGGATGTTATACACAGGAAGAATTATATAGCAATAAATCTTCCTCAGATTATATAAACTGAAACTTTGGACTATGTTTTCAATCCTTTCCAGCAAGTAGAAAAATTATGGATCAGATATTATTTGAAAAAAACAAATTGACAATACATGCAAATAAACAAAGAGTTAAATCAGTCTTGCAATGAGACAAAAAAAATAATGGCCATGAGCAAATGATTTCACCTTCAATAATTGATTCAAATCTAAAATTTGATTTGCCACTTGACTCTCTCATATGTTCAGAACATGACTCCAAATCATTAACCAGCTAAGCAAAGATGGAAAATACCCAATAAGTCTTGTGATAAAAACCATAGAAAAATAATAAAGTTATCATGTAATATAATAGTAAGCTAAAATGAAGTAGGAGCTAATTACCTGCTCCCAAGATTTCTTGACCACAGCTAAAGTGGGATCAAATGATTTTTGCCTCTCCTTCAGTTGAGTAAACCTATTCTCAAGAGCTGCATACTCTAACTTCTGAGTTTCTAATTTTTGTATAAGCTTTTGATTTTGATACTGAAGTACAACAATATCAAGCTGAAACACAAGAGAATGTAAGTTTAAATATAAACAGTGATATAGTTTATTAGCTCAGTTTTTCTAGTGGATCAGTAAATTAAATGCATATGATGTACTAGATACATGACTTAATGTCATTATACTAAAGTCCCATGACGTGAAATAGGGTAAAAATGTGTATTCAGGATATGGAATCGCAGTGTTTTAGAAGAAATGAAACTAAATCAGCATTTTTCTGTATAGACATAAAATTCTCTTCTCTAATTACTGCTGCGAGCAGTGCTAATCAAAGAATCAAATCAATTTAGTAAAAGAATTTTGCAGCTTTTAAACCATTATAACTACTACCTCCCAAATAAAGAGCAACAGGATCCATCTTCACTTCCCACACAACAACATAATTTTCATCCCAAATCCAATGTTAGGAAAGGGATTGCTATGAGCAAAGCCAAATGCAACCATAAAAACATGAATTATATCAAAAGCAGGCCAGAACCATATGTTGAAACTTATAAAAATATTTACAGATGTTCCAAACACGATATACTATGAAACAAAAAACAAACTAGAAAATAAAGAAGTTAAAAAGGCATTGCATAAAGTTATAACCATTACTGCACTCACTAAAATAAAATATACTCATTACAGAAATTACACACAATAGTAACAGAACCTCTTGATATAGGTCTCAAGCCAGATTCAGATCAACAACAGGGGCAACCAAGGCGTACCTCACAAGGTGGGTAAACTAAATAGATCAATAGACAGCATAGCTCTCCATTAAATAAAGGTTCAGACTAATTCAAATCAAGCATTTATTTCCGGTAAAACATATGCATGTTATGTAATTTCAGTCAAAGCAAGAAAGGTAGGCTAAACACCATTTGAGTTCATAAAAAGAGACAAACCACACAAAACCGGATACATGTTTCGGGTGAGAAATAGGATATTTGAAACATAAGCTTCAAATATTAAGGGGAAGAAAAAATAAATCATCGAGAGAAAGAAAAAAAAAATGGAACCTTTTTGTCTTCAGAAACGGGTAAGAAGGGTAGCTTCTTGGCAGTAGCAGCTACAGGTGTTGGGGACAAGGAGCTAAAGTGACGTCGTTTCCGGTCTGAGTCACTCATACTCCCCATTGAAACCAGACACACACAAACCCTAAAAGGCACCCACTTTACTCACATAACAAAATTTCAAAATCATTTGTCTCAAAAACATAATCCACAAGGTGCCCCAGTCACCCCCAAACACAATCACAAACTTCAATTTAAGAAAAACCAATCCCTCAAAACCCTAATTCAAAGCCCACCAAGTGAACCCAAAACATGAAACATGAAAGGGAAATTAAAAAAAGAAAAAGAAAAAAAAAATATATATATATATATATATATATCTCTTTTTTCCGCGTCTATCTATCTACTTCGAGGCCCTATCGAGAGGGATAAAACCTAGAGTTTCAATCAGTGAGTGTTGTGCTCTCTCTTTCTCATAGCTCTCTGCATAGCTGTTTTCTCTCTTTCTCAGAAATGAAAACCCAAGAGGGAGAGAGAGGAATGATTTGTATTTTTCTTCAACCAAAATGGTTGAAGCGAAATATGAGGACTTTTCTGAGGGTATTTGCGTAATATCACATTCACGCCGTTTGTGACGCATTTTTGTAACGTAAGTTAAAGATGGAGAATAGATATGATGACAAAAAACGGAAACAAATTAAATATATTAACTAAAAGTTATTTCTATATTTATTATTTTTCTAAATTCGAGATGATTTTTTTTTTAATCTTAAAATTTAAAACGGTTTTTTAATTACGCAGAATTTTATAAATGTCTGTTTTTTTCTCTAACCCAACTGTCCTTAAACATTTATATATAAACCTAATAATTTCAGTGGATTACCAAATAACCTACTTCGATTTAATATTTTAATCATATTATATTACATTTCTGTTTTCCTTTTTAAATAAAATATATATAATATATAGGTAGTAGATGAGAGTAAGAATAAAACAATAACTTTTTTTTCAAATTAAGATAATAAATTTTAAATTTGAAAGATAAAAACAAATTTAATTCAAATTTAAAAAGACTAAAAACATATTTAACTTATTATAAGTTATAAATATTTACACTAATATTAATAATTAATAATTATAAATATTATGAATAAATTTCTAAATATTGAAAAGCAATAGCTTATATATTACACCTACAATTAAAAAATATATTAATTAAAATTGCAAATGCTTTTTGGATGATTAAAAACTAATACTAGTTCGTACACATGTAATACACGAAGATTATTTATTTTTAATGTTTTTAATTAATTTTTAGAAAGTTAATAATGATTATAATAAATAAAAATTTAATTATAAGACTTAATAAAATTAATGATTAATAATTATAAATGTATTGAATAAATTCCTAAATGTTGAAAAGCAATAGCTTTATCGGATTGGTAGGATATGTGTTTGTTTTGGTGTTAATTTACGTAGTGTTATGACTATTCATCATTAGAGCACATGCTTCTACAGTTCTAATCTAATAACTGTGTGGAAGAGAGCTATTGGTAATTGAGATTGAGTTGTGTTGGATTAAATGATTATACACTCTCTTTGTTCATACATGGAGATTTGATTTTTTTTTTTCAATACACTTGAATCTTGTAAATGTTTCATAGAGACAAGTGCTCCAGATGATTATGTCATTTAACTCGAAAACTCAACCGATTCCAATTTTTAATACACCATCAAACTAATGATAAAATACCTCATTTTTATAAATAATTTAACCTAAAGAATATAATGCAAACAATTTTTTTTTTTTAACACAACATATAATTGTTGTACTTTAGTCAGTTTTTTCACATGCCAAACCAATCTTATGTGTTATTTATTTTATTTTTTAAAAATTATTTATGAAGTATTTTACTCTAAGAGCATTAATTTTAGCAAACATTATACACCATCTTGTTTGATATTATATTTTTTTTAGGGCTTTAAATTAGTTATATATATATATATATATATATATATATATATATATATATATATAATTGTTTGACAAGTAAATTTGTAATATAAACAAAAATAAATGTGGTATTTATTATATTTTTGTTATATATTACTTAAAAAAAATTATATGATATGATTGAACTTTTCTTAATTAATTTTTTTAATATGGAAGTTGCAATTGAATTGTTATCGGATATGTTCATATCATATCTCTCTTTAGAAAGTTGGTTATTGATTAACGTTATGATGTTGTATTCCTAGATATTCTTATGTGATTTTAGATTTTTTTTTTTAATATTTCTATAGTTTTAGATTTTTTATTTGATTTAAGTTTTAAAAAAACATGTGCATGAGATTTAAATGAATTAAATATTATGTAAATAATATGTGAAGTAAATAATAGTTATTTAATCTTATACTAATATAATTAGAATTCATAAATAATTAAATTTTGTTCTCCTTACTTCATTTATGATAATATTTATCTTTGTCCTCCTTTATTTCTTTCTTGTTTTATTAAATCTAAAATGTAAAACAACGAGAATATAATCTAATTTAATTTTTTTGTTTTTATATTGTTCTCTACATTACTAATAATCTCACTACTAGCAATCTTAACTCATTTTCCATTAAGAAATCTTTGAGTTTGTTGGATAATGCTCATAAAGTGAAAATTCATTACCAATTTTCACCCACCATTTACTATGTTATTATTTATTTTTTTTAAGTGTCATTAGATTTTTGCTTGAGTGATCTACCCTAAACCATAAATATTATCCTTAACATTTTATTATTGTAACTTATAAGTAAATAATTTACATGCTTTTTTTTTTTCTTAAGCCACAATTTTAGTTACTTCCTTTATAGCTTTGTTTGTTCTCTCCCTCTCTCCATCAAATATAAAATGTGCAATAATGTGAATGTGATTTGATTTATTTTTCTAAATCTATTTGTTTTCTCTCTTCATTTGGTTGTTACTTTATTAGCATATTTACTATTAAAGTTTGATTATCTTTTACTTTTAATAGTATATGCAAACCTTGATACAAGAAATTTTAACTCATTTTTCTCTTAAAAGATTTTGATCTTGTTGGACACTACTAATAAAGTAAGATCTTTAATTAACTTCCACTCATCACTTACTATGTTATTATGAGTTTTTTAAGTTCCATCAATTTCTTAGTTGAGTGATATCATAAATATTGAACTTAGCATTTTATTATTATAAAATATAAGTAAATAATGTTTTTGTTTTTTTTGTTCAAGTCACTCAATTGCACTTTTCCATATGTGTTATCTTTTCCATTTGTTCCATCTTCCTCTCTAAATCAAATTAAAAATGTGAAATAAGGTGAATGTGATTTGATTTGTGTTTTTATTTCTATTTGTTCCAAATCTTTATTTTTATTGATACTTCAATAGTAGTCTTATTGGATTTTTTTTTTTTTTGCCTTTCACTTTTGATATTATGTAAGGACTTTGATACTAACAATATTAACTCATTTTCAACTTAAAAGATGTTGATCTTTTTAAACATTGCTCAATAGGTAAGATCTTTATCAACTTTCAATCATCATCTCCAATGATGTTATGGCTTGTTTTCAATGTACCATCAAATTTTTGTTTAAATAGTCTCTTATACAAACACTAACTTAGCATTTTATGCTTATATCGTATAACTAAATAATTTGCATGTTCTTTTTGTTTTAGTCACCTAATTGCATTACTTCCTCAATACCTTAGACACAACGACAACATTTAAAAAAGTATGGTCAAAACAAAAGGAAACCAATAAAAAAGTGTTACCTAACAAAGCTAATAAATAAAAACTAAATATAATGATAAGAAATAAGTAATTATGGTCAAATTAAAAGACAACAATTAAAATGTCTTGCTTTAAAATTACAAATAAAATGTTATCTAAAGATTAAGACTTATTATAACAATTTAAAACAATAACTTATACGATAAGTTACTTATCTTTTATAAATAAAGCAATTCACTTACTCATTCTCTCTTTTCTCATTCTTTATCCTCAACCTTACCTTTTAATACCAAAAAACTCCACATATTATTGTCTTACATTAAATTGCATAATTTTGATAATTATTTTGAAATGTAAGCTAAAATATAGTTATTGTGTGAGAAAAATTAGAGTTACTTATGTTTCATCTCATTTGGATTTTCTAGAGCATGTTATAAGTAAAATAAATATATTGTTTTTAATATATATAGTTTTTGGATATATAGTTTTGGATAACAATAGAATTTTGATAGTGTTTTTAAATGATTTGATTTATTCAATATTCCATATATGCAATACAAAATAATGGTAAATAAGATACTCTAAACCCTAGGTTATTAAAACATATATGTTTTTACTAATTTATCTTTAGAAATTTAATATTTATTATTGAACATACATGATTTAGGAAAAGGCATGAGATATCCAACCTTCAACAATGTTAATTAGAATTTGAGTTGTTATATTGTTAAAAATTTAACAACTTTTAAAAGGACATATATATACATATATATATATATATATATATATATATATATATATATATATATATATATATAGTTTACTATAAAGGGATAAATTGTGTGTGTGTGATAATATCCTTAAGGTGGAGGTTATGGTATCATAAAAGTGATAGAGTTTTTTTTTTCTTAAAAAGTTATTGATGTGTGTTACTTAAAGTAGCAATTTTTTTATGTTTGATAAATTTTGTGACTCAATAACTCATTTATGTATGGGGTAGATATTTACACAAATAAAATATGGTATGAAAGATTAGAAATAATTGTAGTAATCTTGAGAAAATGTAGGGTGATTCAGACGACCTTCAATTGTTATACACAAGTGGTTAGTAAGTGAGTATAATAATATGACTTGAGTCATTTTTTTATTAAACTCTTAACCATACTCAAAGTTTTGTTGCTCAAGCCACATAACTTGAGGCTCATTTAGTTGCATATTTATTATGATATTTTGTAACACTACAAATCATTATTAATCTTTCACTTATTTAGTAATATTTTTTCTACCAATTAACTTCTTAAAGAAAGTATTAACGTTAATATGTAATAACCCCTAAAAAGAAAAAAAAAAGTATCATTAT